AGAACAGGTGTTTGTTCTGACATGAGTGAGGAATTTGGAAACATCTGTATCTCACAGAATGTGGGAAATCTCCTTGGGAACTATAGTGCGCAAATCCCCAGTGAGGCATGGCTCAGAACTAGACCAATCTACAAAATTCATTGGATAGCACTGGTCAAACCACCATTTATTATATTGATTACAAGGGTGATGTGTTGAGAATTTTGAAAACTCATTTTTAAACAGTGGCACACAGGTGTATCTCATTTAGCCATTTTAATACAAAATGTATTTACATTATTACTAAAAGTAATTTAAACAATTACAAATTAAAATACAAACAGAAAGTCTGAACTGAACAAAGCAACAAAGTATATAAGAATGAATTAAAGCCAACAACAGTGAATAATATCAATTCAAAGAAACCTGCATGCATTTGAACAGGAGTAGGAACAAACAGCCCCAAAGGGATCTTTGTACAATCCATGAAACCTCGTCTTAGCCAAAATTGGATAGTTGTGCTCCCAAGTCCCCTTGGGTTACAATTCTCTGTTAAATGCTATTGGAGGCAGACCTTGTTAAGGCCCCAATAGCATTTTTGTGATCCCAGGAGGTCATAACTGGTCACATCAAGATTTGTACATATGTGCCAGTATGACCCTTGAAGGCTGGGGGAGGGGGGTTGAAAATGGGGCAGAATGGCCTCAAGATCCCTAGCTAATGCCTACACACACCATGCGCCAGGAGCTATTGGGGCTTTAAAGACTGCAAAACAAAATGGAAAATGGACCAGAAAATGGAAAAAAAAGACCAGAAAATGGATGGCAAAATGTTGCAGATGGCAAAATATTGGCATTATATGTTTGTTATCATATATTTTTGTTAAAATACTCCTCATTCCAGTTAAGTAGAATGCAATCCAGCCACACATGATTCAGGCTTTTTGTGGGTGGGGACTAAAAACTCCTTAAAATCTGCAGGAAAAGGCTTTGTGGTTTTTACCAGATACGAATTTGTGCAGGAACGTGAAGTCAATTAACCATTGATGTGAATGTGTGAAAATCGACAGCAATGCACATAATACACCCATGTGTAAACTATTCCCCCTTCTGCCAAACTTCTTCTATGCTCATGCCATTGTGCTTTGATAGAGTGCTGGTACAGCAGTGCAGATGGCAGCTCCTATTGCTATTTCAATATAGGTCAGGGTTGCAGCACTGGACCAAGAGAATGGGATGCCCAGTAGCTTGCCTTTGCAAAACACAGCACAGAACTGGGCAGGAAAGTATTCATTTACTCAGCATAAATAAAATGAATATAGATTAAATAGGCAACAACCTATTTAATCAACAACCATACCATTGTTCTGATGAACAAATATAAATTGTTTTAAATTTAACATTTGTTTTAGCTACCAAAAGATAACAATTACTTTTCAGATTCTTTTTATTATTTTTTAAAAGTATCCTAACTAGCAACACATTAATGGTAACATAAATGGCATTGTCACAGAGAGACCTTTTCAAATTTTCAGTCCCTGTCTCTAAAATAAATGGCCTTTCTTCAACTCACGGGAAAGATTGGCACCTGGTAATGAAAGTATTGCTTCCTGGATGTGTTGAGTAAACATCATTTTGATTAAATCGTTTGGGGTTTAATAAAGAAGAATTGAAGCTACCACTACACAACAAAATTGGCTGGCTCCATGTCAGGGACACGGTAGATCTTCCTTTTGTGAATTTTTCACCAGCTGTCTTGGTGTTTTTTGAGTGTCGGGATAATTCTGAATATCAGCTTTGGAAAATCTTTTGCCATAAACATAATCTAAAACACCTTTAAAGACTCAAGAGAACTTGCTTGTAAAAACTTTGCTCAGAATCACCTAAATGATATTAAGAAGATGGCTTCAAAGGCATATAATGACTTTCCCCTACTTTGAACTATCCTTGCTTGATCTGTTATCACTCTCTCACATACCAAGACAGATTGTAGAACTTTCTAGGGTTGCATCCAGTTTTTGTTTGCTCATGAAACAAATGAGCTCCACTGGTGCAATAGATTCCTCCTCTCCCCTGCAGGCTCCATGTATACCCCCAAATTCTCTCCAGGGGTTAATGAGATTAAACCTGCCCTGGACTTAATGTTTTAACAGCTCCTTTAAAGAACCTAGCCTCAAAATAGGTTTACCATTTTGGTATAAAGGGGTGATAGCCCCTTTAAAGTCTGGACTAAAACCCAGAGTGGTCTTGCCACCCTGCTGACATGAAGGCCACCAGTCACCTCTGGCAATTGCATACTAAGATGCTCCATCTGGGATCACCCAAAATGGTTGCCTTTAGGACTGAGGGATGACTGTTCATGAACAGAGGAGCTGATTGCATAGAAAAGTTCATGTGTGGCAGTCCGAGACAGAAAATGGCCACTGCATGTGTTGATCTACATATTAGGATTTCTCGCAGCATAAGTGAATGTTGGACCTGGCTCTTTTGTCTTCTGCTATATACTCAAGCAAATGAACCTCCACATGGGGTGGAAGATATCAAAGTCAGTCCATTTTAGTTCCTTCCTCTTTGCTCTTTAATTTTTGAAAGAGGGTAAATTAGAATCTAATTGCTCAGATTTGTATTTTATGCACTAACTTAAAAGTTTATTTTTAAGTTCAGTTTGTTCACCCACAGTATTGTATGTGACTCAATTTGTGATTTTAGTCCAGACTTTAAAGGGGCTATCACCCCTTTACATCAAAATGGTAAACCTATTTTGAGGCTAGGTTCTTTAAAGGAGCTGTTACAACATTAAGTCCAGGGCAGGTTTAATCTCATTAACCTCTGGAGAGAATTTGGGGGTACACATGCAGCCTGCAGGGGAGAGGAGGAATCTATTGCACCAGTGGAGCAGTTAGAAATTAGACTTCATCATCTTCAAATGTGATATTATTTTTGTAGGGGGTGCAAACATTAATCAAACATTTTCTAGGGGTATGGGGCACAGAAAAGCTTGAGAGCCACTGCTCTAATCCCACATCTATTTATTTAATAGATTTTGTTTTTCAAAACCTGCCTTTTAACAAAAAATATCCAGGATAGGTTACAATGTTTTTTAAAAAAGCAAAGATAAAATGTGACTAAACAGGAATTAGAAGCAGCGTAAAATAAAGGGTTCTTGATTTGTTTTTTTAAATGGTAATGAGTTGTGCTAATTGAGTAGTCTGAGACATTCCATATTTAATCAGAAGATAATAACCAAAACTTTGCTCTATGTACCTGAAGAAGTGGCAAATGGGTAGAATTTCATATAAATGGTACACCTCCAAAGCATCCGGAAGCTGCTTCTTTATGCTCATGTGTTCCACCCCAAAGATGACTAAACTGAGGCTGTCATAATTTGGACATATGGGACAACATGACTCACTGGAAAAGACAATATGATTGGTAAAGTGGAAGGCATTAAGAAAAGAGAGAGACTGTTCTTACAGATAGATTGATTCAATCAAGGATGCTGACTTTCCAAGACCCGAGCAGGCTTTTGGAGGTCTCTCATTCCTAAGGTCACCATAAGTCTATGGGCCTTCGCAGACTGCCAGAAATAGTGCAAATTGTGTCCACTTTAACTGCCCTGACTCAGTACTAGGGAATCATGGGAACTGTAGTTTATTGTGGCACCAGAGCTCTCTGACAGAGAAGACTCAATGTCTCAGAAAAAAAAATACAGTTCCCATGATTCCCTAGCACTGAGCCAGGACAGTTAAAGTGGACTCAATTTGCACTATTTCTAGCAATCTGCAAAGGCTCTATGTCACTTTGGTCACAAATAACAAAGTGGGTGTGGGTGTGAATGTACTTATCCAAAAATTCAACAGCATATCCTTTATGCCATGGTTTAATTTCTTTATGAGAGATGTTGATGTTCCACTTATCTGGAAGCCATGCTGATGTTATTTTCCATGCTGTACAAAGCACAACAAATAACATTTCTCAGTGGGAATATTGTGTCATCCTGCATGTGTTTAAAGGTATTCTTTATTCAGTGCTGTACCCAGTCAGTACAGAGAAAGAAAAGAAGTTTTAAGCTGTAGCTGCACATGTTCCAGCAGCCACAGTGGGAGTGATTGCCCATTCTAAAAGTCACCAGTAGATGGTACTGAAAGCTACAAACTCAACTGACTAGCTGAAGACGTATCCAGCAACACAAAAACAACGTGGTGTTTTGATTCATAAAAAACAAAAAGGCTTCCCCTGCAGGATGAATAATAACAGGAAAATGAAGTTATTGCTCTGTTTCCCCCACACACATACGCCCATATACATGCACTCACAAGACAAAATTGTGTAAAGGGACCAGGACTCAGAATAGTGGAGTGAGTATATCTTTGTTGTTAACTGCCCTCAAGTCAATCTCAACTCATGGCGACCCTATGGATCAGACATCTCCAAGACCCTCTGTCATCCACTGCTCTGCTTAATTCCTGTAGCCCCATACCCGTGACCTCCTTAGTAGAGTCCATCCATCTAGAATGTGGCCTTCCTCGCTTCCTACTTCCTTCAACCTTTCCCAGCATTATTCTTTTTTCCAAAGAGTCCTCTCTTCTCATGATAATAAAATAATAATAATAATAATAATAATAATAATAATAATAATAATAATAATAATAATAATAATAATAATTTTTCCCACCCCTCTGCACCGCAATGATGTGTCCGAAGTATGACAGTCTCAGTTTGGTAATCTTGGCTTCCAGGGAGGTTTCCAGCTTGATCTGCTCTAGGACCCACTTGTTTGTCCTTTAGCTATCCATGAGATCCTCAGAACTCTTCTCCAGCACCACATTTCAAATGAATTGAGCATATGTACTTAAGTTTGTTGTTGTTGTGTGCCTTCAAGTCATTTCTGACTTATGGTGACTCTAAAGCAACCCTAATTGTGAGGTTTTCTTTGCAAGAGTTGTTCAGAGGAGGTTTGCCATTGCATTCCCCTTGAGAATGAGAGCAGGTGTCTTACCCAAAGTCAACTAATGGCTTTCATGGCCAAGTAGAGAATTGAACCCTGGTCTGCCGAGTAGCAGTCCAACAATCAAACCACTACACCACATTGGCTCTCTTACTCTCTTCCTCCAATATTCTTGTAAAGATGCTTATTTAGTTAATGATATCATCCAAGGCTTCCCTTGATGTAATCCATCTTCATAAGAATACCCATTTGGCCAATATCTCCTTGTGTTATACACCACAGAAATGTTCTCATATATGTTAACTAGAAATTATTATTATTATTATTATTATTATTATTATTATTATTATTATTTACCTACCTTTCATCATGGATTAAAGGCAGGGAACAACAACAATTAACAGACAAACAACAAAAGAAAGTGAGTACTATTCAAGATACAACTGTTTTTAAAAATCTAAATATTCAGAGAAAGAAAAATATTTTTAAGGTGTCAAAAGAGAAACGTGAGTATTTGTGACAAAAAATATAGAGTGTCACACTCAATGGGTCCTGAATCTAAACAATTTGTCTTTATGACATTCTTCTTAGCTTAATATGGCTCTTCATCATCTACTTCATTAAAAATATATTGCTGATATAAACATGAAGTGCGTAGAACAACAAGAGGATAGCATCCCAACAAGACAGGTTGGAAAAGGAACATACACATCAATAGGGCATAAATATATTCAATACCCTCCTCCTCCTCCCTTTTGCAATTATATTATTGGATGTGGAGCAAGTACCTAGGCATGTTTTCTCAGAACGAAGTGCCACTGCTGCAGTAAAGCTCATTCCCAATCAAAGATGGCAGCTGGACTCTTCTTTATCCAGTATAAAAACTCAACACAGTTTCATTGGGTACTTCTCCCCAGCTCTCATTATTCCAGCATGAAGAAATTGAAGAATTGAGCCTTTTTGTTCCACTTCTCCCCTACTCCTTTAAGAGAAAAAGAAAAAAAATATTTTTTTTTTTTGGTTAGGCCTCCCTCTCTACACACAGAGGCAGTAAGTCTCTCACACACACGCTTGCACGCACACACATACTGGATCTGCTGTCTGTGCACCACTCCCCTATTGTTTTCACTATAACTGATTCTGGCAACAGCTCTTTAGCACTTGGGAAGGGCCTTCATTAGCACTGGGCCAGTTCCAAAAGGAATTCTTGGGGGGGGGGGAACAATCCACACATGGCTGCTCTTGTTCTCATGATAAATGACAGCTTTGGCTGAAAAACAACAACACGAAGGAAGCAAAATACAACCCCAAAAGCAACAAGGGTAGCCATAATGTGAATAGAGGAAATCAGACATGACTACTTAACCAAGATGGGGAATGGGGCAGGAGAGGAATGGGGAAGAGATCAGAATGCTGTCAGATTGGCAGTGAGTTGTTTGGTGTGAATCTAATGAGTGGTATATTTATGTTGACATTCTAGAAGAGGATAGACATCACCAGACTAGATCAACATAAAAATGATTAATCTGTCACACAATACATCCAGTGTACACCGGGGGGGGGGGGGGGGGGGGGGGGGGAATGTAGAGCTGTTTTCAGCAAAACAAAAACAAAAACCCAAAAAACTATTCTAATGCACATTACAAAGGAACTATGCCTCTCTTGTCATTTATAGTAATGGTATAATTACTAACAAAAGAAGATATTAGGAAAAGTGATTTTCTCCTCACCTGATGTTTGGCAGGAGCTAGGATAGGGTGGTCAAGGAATTCCACTCACAGAGGGGGCAGAGTCACCACAGAGGCCCTGATTACACTCATAGAGCTCCATTGGTATAAATCTATGGCCAGAGATATTCCTAGAAAACAGAGACATTGAGACTAGGGAGGAATAAGTATAAAGATGGCTTTGCATGCACTGGATCTAGTGCCCCTCTGTGCCCTTCAGAGGCCCAGGATCAAATGCCTGGAGTTGACATTATTAATTTTGTCCTGCCTGCCGTTCATTTTAATCAAGGGGAAGGGACATTAAAAGCCAAAGATCAACCCACTAAAAAATGTCCAAGAAAGTTGTTTGCATGCAATGGGTTGGCACACTTTGGAAGAGGACAACAATTTTCACCCCCATGCTGGGCCATAACACCTGATTTTCATCCCTAGAGCAGCCAGATGTTCTAACTAGAAGTCATCTCCACTTATAACTCTGAGTTCTGTTGGCTGGTTCTGGGCTTTTGGTGATAGTTCCTCTTGGAAGAATCTGCAAGGATGGAAAACCTGCAGATTTTTAAAAAAATATATTTTATATAAAGTAAAATAAATATTCCCTCAGAAAATATCAACCAGAAGAGCACTAAATTATCAAGTACACAGATAGATAAAAATATTGCAACAGCTACTATAGTTGAGCCATCCATGAACAACAAAGGCTGCATGTCATTTTCCTGATGCATACTTAATTGGGAACAAGTTTCCTTGAAGACATGGAGGGGATCTCTAAGTACACATTGTGCTTGTAAGCATGTTCATAGTCAAGGCCAACTGAATGTGAATATGTGGGAGGAGTAATTTGCCCTCCTCCTGACTGTGCCATACACCTGATTCCCTACATCTTAGGCCTGATAGATGTACAGTCAGCCCTCCCTATCCATGGATTCTGCATCCAGGGATTCAACCATCCACAGCTTGAAA